AGAACAAATTGCAAAGGGTAATGATTCTCCTCTCTTTATGATGTCTCCCTTAAGCATAGTAAAAAATACATTTACACCTAACAAAATATCTATAGGTTTTCTTTCATAGAACTTAGGATCAGCTAAGACTAGATCGTCAAAATGATTCGCAATTTTAGAAGGAAGCGACACGTTAGGCACATCTGAAGTTATCCTTGGAATCACGAATGCATATGTTCGAAATTTGGAATTTGACTCAAAGTGCGGGGTAAAGATTAATTCCACTTCTCCACTTGTTACAGTGTTGAACGAACCAAGGCACGATACTTCAATTTTTTTGTTAAATCTACCTAACTTTAGTTTTACTGACACACTCTTCACTTATAAAGCTGGCTTCACTGCCACAGTCTAGTAAAGCCCTGCAAGGGATGGCTTTACCATTGGAATCACTAACTTTAATGAGAGCAGTACACAGTAATACACGTTTTGATTCACCTTTAGAATAACTAAATTGTCCTGTACATGTTGTGGCATTTGTAACGACTTCATTCTTTGGTAAGAACACTTCGCTGCTCTCGACACTGGGGGAGAGTGAGGACTTTTGTTTTGGTTTCTCATTTTCACTAGTTTTGATATTTCGATCAAAATGAAGAACAGTATGATGAGGTAACTTACACGTCATACATTTATGTAAACTACGACAGTTTTTCACTAAATGAGGCTGAGAAGATAAACAATTAAAACAAAGTTTGTGTTTCTTAACAAATTCGATTCTTTTTTGGACACTTAAGTTTAAAAACTTACCACATTTGTGAAGAGAATGATCTTCCTTGCACATTATACAACTGTTTTTACTCGACACTAAAGAAGTTACTTTGGAATTAGAAAATTTCCTAAAATCTTTAGATTGGTTTCTACTATTCTGAAGGGTTCTAGCGTGGTCTTTTAGAAACTCGAGTAAATTATCTAAAGTACCTAATTCATCTTTTTTCAAAGTTCTTTCCCACCAAAATTTTATGTTTTTATCTAATTTCTCAGTTATCAGATAAACAAAAAGAACATCAGAAAGATCAGAAACTTCTAGCTTAAGAGTTCTCAAAGAGCGTACACATTCATTCACTACATCAACACAATGTAAAATAGCTTGAGCTGAATCAGAAACATTTGGAAAATTAAACATTTTACGGATTAATGCATTAGTTAATTCTCTTTTATTAGAATAAAGTTCCTGTAAAAGTTGCAACGCTATATCATAATTAGCATCAGAAATAGGAATTGACTCAATAATAGACAGAGCCGGTTTTTTACAAGAAGCCTTTAAATATTGAAACTTCTGACGTTTAGAAATATTCAGATTGTTATCTACACTAGCCATAAAAAGATCATAGAAACTAATCCACTCATCTATATTTTCCCCTGTAAAGGTAGAAAGTTCTAATTTTGGTAATCGAACATCAGACAAATTTACTTTTGCTACACTACTTGTTTCGATAACAGAGTCACTGGAAAGTTTCTGTAACTTTTTATTTATAGTTATCCATAATTCATCTAAAGTTTCTTGTACTGTTTGTTGTTCCTTAATGAATGTATCACAATCTTTTTCGGGACACAACAAAAATATTTCTTCATAAATAGAACGAAGCTCACTGTTAAAAACATTTAGTTTCGTTTTGAACAACTTTACCTCTAAAATTTCTGCTTGTTCTAAATTCGAATTTACCTTGCCTTTAAACGTTGTTATATTGCTTTTTAGAACCTTCTTTTTAGTTAAAACTGGTTTCAAATCAGCCATTATGAATAACAATAAATATTATACTAACAACTCTAAAAAAAAAGATGATGAAATATTGGAACGTACTCACCCCAATGTTGAGGTTTCTACGCTACACCATGCCACGGGAATATTCCACAAATCGAAACTGATTTCACCACAGATGCCACACGTGTAATCCACAAATCGAAAGTGATTTAACTTGCTAATATTTGAATAAACCACATCATATCCAAAGCTCGCTAACTCTTCTCTCCGGTCGCTACGGGCCAGGAATGCTAAGAATAAGTTCACAAAAAAAGGTAAGCGGACTGTATATCACTTTATTTTACATAACACTTTGAAATAGAAGGAATGCCGTCCATGTGACGACACAGCTCACATCACTTCAAGCACTGTAGCAATTAAAAAAAACAAAAAGGAATAGAATACAAATCACATAAGTTATGAGTTCAAAGTTCGTTACCATAGCAACCAGAATTTAATCATCAGGAAGCAACGCCATCTATTGTTGCAAAGACACACTAGTAATTCGTTTGGTAACAAAAAATACTAAACAAAAACAATTACAAAATCAAGGTCATAGTACCTGCTCATGGCTTACAATCACCCAATGAGTGTTCAAATTAGTAATTCGTCGAACCGCCCCTGGCGACAATGCATGCTTGAATTCGTTGAGGCAAGGAGTGGTAGAGGTTCCGAATGTCATCCTTTGACACATTCTGCCAGGCATTCATCAGTTGTCGCTCCAGATCTGCGATCGATATTTTCTGGTGGTTGAATCTGGCGGCCTACCATGTCCCAGACATGCTTGATTGATGAAAGGTCTGGTGACCTTGCTGGCCAAGGAAGAGTATCAACTGCACATGTGAGCGATATGTGGCCTTGCATTATCTTGTTGGAAAATGGCCCTAGGATGACTTGCCATGAAGGGTAATGCAACCGACCGCAAGATGGTATCAACATATCGTTGAGCTGTTAAAGATGTACGGAGGATGACTAAAGATGACCTGCTGTCATAAGAAATAGCACCCCACACCATCACACCAGGACTTATGGCTGTATGCCTTTGTAAAACAAAGGCTGATTTGGACCGCTGGCCTCGTCCTCTCCAGACACAAATACAGTGGTCATCTGCTTCAGGAGTGAAACAGGATTCATCGCTATACGATGGCAGCCATGATGATCAGCTGCGACACCACTGCATAAGATTCCACCGATGTTGTGAGGTCAAAGGCAGATGTCTTAAAGGCCTCTGTGAGTGTAAGCCTGCCTCAGACAAGTGACGTGAGATCGTGGACGGTACCATGGGAGGTATAGACATGGCTGTAGTGCATTGAATAGTCGACAAGGATACCATTGGATCAGTTCGGGCCTGCCGAACAATCATCCTATCTTGCCTCTGATTTGTGCTCCTTGGCTTTCCAGAGCCTTCATTTCATCAGCAATTTCCATTGTAGCAACCATTGCTGCCCACATCTTTGCACAGCAGTGGCCGTACGCTGCAGGTGGCGGTCTATTGCTTGGTATGTCTTCGATATCATTGTAATGGCATCTTTATTTGCTTCTTTACGGAATTACAATGGCAGCAACAAAAAAGATCAATTTTCTGCCTCTGTTACTGGTTTTATACTTTGCGAATTGAGCACTAGAAACACAACCAATGACCGCAATTCCTGTTCATTTACCTTGAAACTTTGATCATTTACATGTTCGATCAAGATGTTTTCGCATACCGAATTTCTTCATGAAAGTCCTTCTCGGTGCTTCGATTTTTTTTGCAAAAGAGTGTATTTAATTCTCCAAGAGTATGAAAATCAGATATAATGAACTGTATGGATATCTTCAACTGAAACTTTTTTCTTGTATTTTTTATATTTTTCTAGAATTTTTGCAAGTTTTAATAAAGAAATTATGAATTTTTAAACCCTTGCATGTTTAGAATATTAGCATCTTCATTTCATCCACATTCCACCCATAAAAGAAAACACCTTTATGTTATTTTTCTTTTATTTTTGCCCCCATTTTTCTAAAGAAAAGCAATGCAAGATAGATGTGACACTGAACTGTAGAAGAAAGAGGATATAATAAGCTTTTATCTTAGAACACTGTCCTATTGAACCAAAAGTGTGAATAGGCTTTCTGATTACATTAAAATTCTTTGATTGAACTGCTGGACAGAGCTGTATTCAAGGCTAATGCCATGGTGGAAATTCTGACAGTTTTGCTCTTCAGGAAAGAAGCAAGTATTGAATCTTTTGAGCCTGCGTTTTTGTAATTGATTCTTTTTTTTTTAGGGAATAAAAATTTTGACCTTGCTAGCTTTTTTTTTTTTTTTTATTATAAATGCTTCCCAAGTTGTATTCTCCAAATGCAGGTTTTCGCTTCTTTGTGGTCTTTTGCAAGGCATAGTATATTCTTAATAAAGATAATTGAAAATCTTTGCATTACAAGCATAATATATCCTGAGGAGAATGATTGTGTTTTTACTCACAGGGGATGGAATTGTCTTCCTCTTTTATATTTTCCAGAAGACCAATGCTTTTACATGTTCAACAAATCTGATATTCTCTGCATACTCTTTCTGTGTCAAAAATTCATCCAGATGACAAACTGTAAATATAAACCTTCTGCATGAAGGTAAGGTGAAAATTATTCAAAATGTGATCAATTGATGTAGACAAATTGATATCTGACAAAAAAAAAAAAAAATATTCAAATCTACAGTTGATTCCATATGAAAAAATTGGAACTCTATTATTTGTGCTCATGGGAAAAATCTGTGTTCTTGGAAAAGGTTGAGAATTGTGGTTCATAGAGATGTTGAAAAAACATTGTTAAAATGGTTTCCACTCAAAGCCACAATCTGCCAATATGCTGGACAAATGCTTATGATAAAAGAATGAACAAGATGTTTAATAATTGCAAGTAAATATGATATAATTTTTAAATTAGATTTATTATTCACTTCTTTTGTAACATGGGACAAATCCACTTTTTTTCTTTATGCATCATTATATTTTTACACGTTTTTGTAAGATAATCTTTTTTATTGGATCAGTTATGATGAACCAAACTTCTGGTCTCTTGAAATCCATTATAGACTGTACTGCTATTATTTTTTTGCATTTTTGTATGAAAAATTAATCTTAAAATATGATATAAACCTTTTTTCTTTCTTAAACAAATCTTCTTTAGAATTAGGTATGGTTATTTTGAACAACTTATTTCATTAAATTTTTCTTTGAAGGCTTTAGAATGGATTCAGGAAACAGGAGAAGATTATCTTGACAATCGTAGCACATTAGGGGAAAATGTTGAAGAAACCAAATCCCTTTTGAAAGAGTACAACGAATTCAAAGGGAATGCAAAGGTTGTTATTTATCTTGCACTAATATAATTCTTTCACTAATATAATCCTTTGTGTATAACAAAGTATTTAAAATTATATAATGAATATGTTACTTGAAAACTGATATGTGTAAAATGTATGGGTTTTTTAAATCCATGTCTTTTCGCAGGAAACTAGGGAAAAAGTGAGACTGCTACTTCAACTTGCAGATAGTTTAGTGGAAAGAGGTCATGCTCATGCGACTGCAATAAAGCAATGGGTTGCTTCTGTTGATCAGAGCTACAAAGATTTTAGTGAGCGTATGGATCAGTATAGACAAAAACTTGAGCAAAAACTTGGCCTACAATCTGATGTAAGAAAATGTGTAGAAATTTGATATTTTATCATTCAAATGTGAAATATTTATTTTGTCTTCAATCTGCAATGCAAGTTTTCATTTTTTATCATTAAATTAATAATGAGATCAAATGAGATTAATACCAATAACTCATATCTTAGGTAATAATTTTTTGTATCTAGGAAGAGGGCAAATAACATTTGAAGAAACCTGTGTGCAAATTAGTGCAAATTTAATAGTGGATTATCATTGGGAACTGAAAATTGTAGATTTGCATAATAAGTCATATTTATTTAAATTTCAGGTGTATGAAACTTAACATTTTTATCTTATTTAACTTCCAAAAGTTAAATAAGGTATAATACTAGCTTTATATTTTTGAGTCCTGTATATGATCTTTTCTTATTTTCCATTGCTTATCATGCTATGGCAAAATCAGCTGGAATTATCATATATTTTCATTCTTATTGCAAATAATGGGGAAATATCCAAAATTTCATCTTTGTTATAATACCATTATGCTGGTAGTTCGCCAAAATAAGAAGTTATATAATCATTTAATAAAATATGTATTTTGGTAACTTTTCATAATTGATATCATATTGAATGAACCCAAAAAATTGCTTTTAAAAAATGGATGTTTAAATGTTAAACTGTGCTTAATATCTAAATATCTATTTTTAAAGTTTTAATTTTTAGAATCAATTGCTATTTCTTGAACAGATTCTTTTATTTAATTTTTATTGAAACTGATGTAGAAATTTAACATTGCAAATTTCTTTTGAAAGCTTTGTGATAGCTTTTAGATGTCTTAACTTTTCAACAATCTATTTTAACATTTTAATTTGGGAAACATTATTATTTTTAATTGTGAACAGCAGATTTGAAACTTCTATGAAGTCAAAACTATCAGGGATATATTTTTATTAGTATGTCGTAAGTATAGAAATACAACCAGTAAGAGTTTAGAAAGATCTGAATAAAAACTTCATATTTAATTTAACTTGCTGATAAATACTGAGCGCCACCTGAGATAGCCACTGACCAGACTCTGTTGTAAAAGTCTTACAGTGTTAATAGTCATCCTGGCAGAAGAGATTATTTCTTCAATATAAAAAATTTAAATATTACATGGGCGTACAAGGCCTGTGTATAAGCATAGCTATGTTAATTTCAGACATTATCTTGTACAATTTACATGAGATAGTTAGATATAATCATGAGAGTTATATGCACATTTAAACTTATCTGAATTCATATTTACAATGCTTTTACTGAGATAATCTTGTAATTTACAATGCTTTTACTGAGAAAATCTTGTAATTCTTGTATTCTTGTACTGAGATAATCTTGTAATAATAAGTAAACTTGTAATTCAGTTACACATTTACTGTATTTTCAATGTCATTTTTAACTGCTTTACATATTATAATAGTGTTTGCTCTTACAGTCCAGTTACTATTCTATGGAAGCTATTTTTCTAATGTTGATTTTCAGTTTTTGTAGTACTATCTGGCTTAAACTGGGTAGGAAGTTACGTCACTCAATTTTCTGGTACCTTAGCTGATTTGCTTGGGAAACCTGCAACTGCTGTTATATTTGTAGTACTGATCAAGGGAGTATCTTTGTTACTGTTCAATTAGTTGGATTTTACTGCAAGAGACAATTACACTAATCTGCTGCTCCCTTATCAGTTCAATGTACTCCACTTTTGCGAGGCTTTTCCCCACCATTTTGATTTGCTATTGAAATTATGATGCACAGATCCAGTTCTCAAGGGGGGATTTCTTAATACCTTGCTAAGCATAGCCTGATCACCTCCACTATCTTAGTTTTTGCCTGCTTGTTGCCACTGGTATTCCAGGGTTTGTACGGTCCTTAAAAGCCCATAATTTTTTCAAAAATGATTTTTGGTCCTTAAAAGTCCTTAATTTTGGCCAAAATGAATAAACGGTCCTTAATTTTGCTCATTTGACATTTCTTATCATTTCTAATTATTGCCATTCTAAGTGTGAATTACGATTTCTCATGAATATGGAATTAAAATTACACTGCTCTTAACCAATCTGTTGGCGGATTTGCATTGCAAACGATAAAAATAGCTACCCGAACGAAAGTATCGGTGTCTGATTGGCTATTCACCCAATCTTTCGAAACAGGTGTTATCCATAAATTTAGGCAGATTGTGACGAAAGCGTGAAGCTGGAAGTTCTTTAAGAGGCGAAAGTGATGATGAAGGTGCTCGAGAAAAAAAAGGGGGGGGGATTCTGAAAATATTTGCCAAAATTAGAGCAATTCCAACCTGGAAGGCCACAACCCTTCCGACGCCAATAGGAACGAGATGCCTGGAAAGTGCATTTTCAATAAACTGTGGCTTCATCAAGCTGACTACAAAGACTGGATATTGATGGATGGCAATCCTTAAATGTGGTCTTTGTCTGAAACAAATTGAAATTTCTAGAATGGGAGAGTCAGCACTGAAAATTCACATTGAAAATTAAGTTTCGTTTTATCATTTCAATTTGTTTTTACACGGTTTTGCTTAGCTTAATTTCTGTGTTTGTTTCAATTAAGCCATAAATTAATTTTTTATCACCTTCTACGGAGTTTATTCTCTTTTGCACATACTATATGTATGGGATATCGGGATTATGAGTTTATTTCTGCAGAGGGTCTGTTATCGATTTCGCGGGAAATCTGTTGGCTCCATTTCGATTTTAGGTCGCCAAGGGCAAAATCGGTAACGCTAGCTGAGAAAAAGTGAAGTTCGGAAATACGTTTTGAAGCTTCAATAGACAATTAAGTATTTGGTTTAAACCTATGTTTGTTGATAGTAATGCATAATTTTTGCTAATGGCGATACAATTATTAGTTGAAAATAACTAACTAATTAAAAATTTTTTAAATATTTTTAAAGCTGAAAACAACTAATTGAAACTAATTTTCCTGAATTAACTAGACGCAAAATTAACTTTCATGAATTACTAAAGTTATTGGGTAGAAGTTTAACTGAAAATATACATTCCGATATATATATATATATATTTATACAGTACAAAGTCCGAGGTCTGGACTCGTCGGGACTTCGGCGATCCCAGATTTGAGATTTTTCCGGATATTAGATCATTTTAAATCTACTAAGATGGCACGTAGAAATTATAAAATTGAAAATATGAAATCGTGATTTATGAAATAATGAAGCATTTATGATTTAAACGGTATCAAAATTTACAAAAAAAAAAAAAAAAAGAGCTTAATATTTATATGTTTACTTTATTAAACATTTCTTTCAATGTGAGTTGTTTGATTTGTTTTCTCTGCTAATACTTTAGACTAATACTATAGACATATAATTTCTTGTTCAGTTATTAAGTTCCATTGTTCAAGTCCTGTAATTGCTGTGTCGAGAATTCCGAATAACTTGTCAATCAAAATTTTTTCTCGTTCAGTAACCTCTCTGTTACTTTCTTCACTATCGGTAGCTGTATTTTCTGGATTTAGAACCATACTACAGATTTCGCCCTCCGTTAATTGATTGATGATTGGGCATTGTCATTGCAATGAAAAACTTCTGTTTAACTTCGCTAAATTCTGCCGCCTGGTGCGGCCATGCGAGCTCTGGAGCTGGTTCTGGCTTTATGTGAATAATCATGAGAATTATGTGAGAATCATGAGTTATTCTTAATTCAAATAGCACTAAATATAATCGTTTGTCCTATGAGTATCATTAACAAAATCTATTTTTAGCATAAGGAAAGAAATTTCTGATAAATCTCCCCTTGTCAACATTTTAGCGCATTAAAACTTAAATCTGTAATCGGATAATACTCTGTTATTTGGCATCGCTGCATGATTCATCACTCAAGTTGTCATTCCGTTGATAAACATGCGGTGATGAAAGCAAAAATACAATAAATAATGATTCGCGATTTCGGCATCAAGGATATAAAATATTAGTTGGTGTAAAATAAACAAATGTTTCGGTTTGAGATTATGCCAAGGAGATACGCAGCTATGGAGTCAAGTTACTAATCACACAAATTTATGCTAAAATAATTATTTCTTCAATAATGAGATATTTTATTTAGTGCCAAACTGAGATTAAGAATCGGGATTTCTGGCATGTTTTTATGATGAGGAAAAAAATCTAATGCGCGTGCGTAAAGCATACCCCTTCCCTTCAAAAAAGCCCTAAAAAATTGGTTGGTGGTGGCTTTGAGGTCCGGATTTTAGATCATTCCAGATATTGGATGTCCTCCGGATCTCGGACTTTGTACTGTACAGATAAGATGTATATATATATGTAAGATAAAATTATATGAATCAGAATAACTAAAAACATTAATTCTTCCTCTTTATTCTAAAATCGTAATAACTTCTTTGCATTGCGTCATTTCTAGATCACTCTATGATCGGCGCAGCTCTGATGACGTAATCTGATGGAACTGAAACTGTCCTTGTAAACCAAAACTTTTCTCTTTGCGTGCCTCCATCTTGCATAACTACGCACTTCAGCTTTTGCTCGCTACTGTGCTAAGGTGTAATTTCGCTGGCTTGCTTTCTATCTCAACAATATCAAAAATGTAAATCTTCTGTGGAAAGGCACGACTAGAGTGCCAAGTGATTGTGGCCACAAATATCAATTGGAAATAAAAGTGGAATTAAAACTGCCTCGACTGCCAAGTTCTTTAAAATACGCATCAATCAAATCTTCTTCAATATGGGTCTAATCACGCAATGACAGTCTTGTTCGGATTGTGATTTTAATTACAGATTAAGCGGTAAGGAAGTTTCCTGCAGCCTGAAACCTCAATGGAAATTTTATTCAGCTCTTCAAAATCATCGTTTTGTGATAACTCCAAGATAATGTGAAAGAAGGAATCATCAAGTTGTTTTTTCGGGTTTTAAAAAATTTCATCTTCTGCTTGGTGTTTTGCAAGTGCTTCCAATAATAATCATTTTGCAGATAGTTTTACATATTGAAAGTAAATCTAGATAAATGAGAATGTCGAATT